ACTTTCATTAATTAAAAGTAAACGGTGTTGAGTTCAATAACAAAAATAAATAGGGATCCTCCTTAGAATGTCTGGAATCTTATTTAATACTGTATATCTCAATCTGTTGCTTACATTTCTACTAAACGAGAAGACTCACCGACGCACAGACCAACGGACGGCAGTCCATATATTTTTTCAATTACATTTTTTGTTATGTAGGTATAAAATGAATCTTATAATTCAATGTCTGTAGTTATTGTAACGTTAATAATACTCGTAAGATGGATTTGATATCTAGCTAAAAGTATAAGAACGATTTTATGTAGCGAAATTGAGGTATGGCCACATGTCGAGAGTAGAGCACTCCCTCACGTTGTGACGCGTGCAATAAATCGTTAAAAAATACAGATAGGTACAATTTCAATCATTTATTTATCACAGTCTATCAATGGTGAACATAGGTCTCCTTGTGGATTGTTTCATAAGAAGTATATCGTGTGGACATAATGAAAATACTTAAGTATAAATACTACGTCTTGACATGTGTTAGAGCCATGTTGCAACTATATCATAATTGCAGCACGTAAAAAATGGACTGCTATGTTTCGTATAGTGAGTGTAGAGAACCCTTTCTACTGGAAACGAGACATTCCATCTTAGTCTTCACGGGTGACAACGCATCTGCATTTGTTTCTTAATCGAAGATAGATGTATCTATGAGCCACAGCACCCACTTACGATCAGGTGGACTGTTTGTTCGTTTGTCACCTTTATAATATAAGAAAATTAGGGAAACAGTAAAGTTTAAAATTATCTGTCGATCGTTATATACCTCTCCTTCGTTAATTTTATTTATATTATATATTACTAGATATACTAGATGTGCGTACGTACCTGTAACAAAATAATAATAATAATATAATCAAATATTTTTCGTTGTAGGTTGTGTGTAGACGAATGAGGTTCAATCCCAGATGCACTCGTGATAGATGGGGCAAATATGCGTGCGTACAATGTATAAAGTACAAGAAAATATGATAAACAGATCGTTACCAATTCGTCGCAAATATATGGTACGCTTTCTCGATGATGTTAATTTCAAAAATCCGACGACTTCAATAGATACGTCATAGTTTTTTATACGTGGTAGAGCCATGCTGCTGCTATATTAGTAGTATAGTTGTAGCACGAATGAATCGGCTCGACCGGCGTAAGACCACGCTCTCACAGAATACCAGCGTAAAATAGCAGCTTAACGCTGCTGTGTTTCGTATGCTGAGTGTAGAGAACCGGAGACTTTTTACTGGAAACAAGACATTCCATCTTAGTCCTCACGGGTGACAAGGCATCTACATTTTGATTCGTAATCGAGGATGAATGTCACACAATTGGCCACAGCATTCACTTACCATTTGTCACCCTTAACCTATAAAAAAACAACGCCATAACAGACCCTATCCCAGCAGAGCCGAGGTGGGTCGCTAGTGTTCAATAAAAATTATCTTATTCTATTCTATCTATACATGTTTTTGCAAATAAATATATATATTTATCTTTATCCCACGAAATTCCAACATATAAAGCACTCGGAGTCTCTTGTGAGCCCTATTAGAGGCATATGGTGCAAACGGCGTTGTTAATGTGCCGTTCGAGCTTGTCCCCGCGACCCCTCCGGTCCAGTGACTCGGAAGTCTGGCGGTGACGGGTTTGATTTCGTACGTATAGGTCGAGTTCAACCGACTGTGTGAGGCGGGGTTTGCGGGTTATCGCAGATTGTTTTGTGTTAGTAAAGGTTTTTTTTATTCTAACAAAGTTATTTAGGGTCAATCGTCCAATTTAAGAAACATTTTGTAAGATTGTCTTGAATTTAACATAACATAATCCTACTGTTTTGTTTGGTGAATGTATAGAAAATTTAAAAGATAGAGCCACGATGCAGCTATATAATTGTATGAATAGGTCGGCTCGACCGGGAAAGGACCACGCTCTCACAGAATACCAGCGTAAAATAGCAGATGTTTCGTATGGTGAGCGTAGAGAACCGAAGACTTTATTTATTGGAATCGAGGCATTCCATGTTCGTCCTCAGGGGTGGCAACGTTCTAACGTTTTTTCGAATTGGTAACAAACAAATACATAGTCTACCTGATGTTAAATGGTCCATAGACATCTACATTTATCATCCTAAATTAAGAATCTAAATGCAGATGCGTTGTTACCCCTGAGGACTATTGTGGAATGACTCGTTTCCAGTAAAAAAGTCTCCGGTTCTCTACAGTCACCATTCGAAACACAGCAACATAAGTTGCTATTTTACGCTGGTATTCTGTGAGAGCGTGGTCCTACCACAGAGTAAAGAGTAAGGACTTACTCATGTGGTCCTACCCCAGTCGAGCCGACACATTCGTGCTACAATTATACTACTAATATAGCTGCAGCATGGCTCTACCACGTGTGAACGCTGTGAGGCACTATCTTTAACTTCAGGGGTGACAACGCATCTGTACGTTCTTTCTCTGAAGTTGGCTATAAGTGTCCAAAGACTGCAGAAGTCATTTACCATCAAACGAACTGTCAGTATGTCACTCCAGTTTTAAACAAATCTCTAACCTTTACCAACCGCCAGTTGCATGTCTTCCATAGCGTTAATTGCTCACTTGGGTCGTTAACGCTGCGTGCGTACGACACAAACACGGATTTGTCATATTATATATACATCTGGTATATGCATGTCGTAATGTCCGTCTGTCATGTCCCGTTGCACAATTAGTTAAATTTGACAAAAACAATCCTGTGGTTTAGTTTGATAAATTATTTGTTATGCGCTGTTAAATTTAAAGTGTGGTTGTGACAAAAATGTTTAGGTTATTTGCGGGAATAATTTATTTATCATAATCTATATTTCTGACATACACTGGGCCCTGATGGACACAACAATATTATGACGTAGGAACATTTATTATTATTATTGTTAAATAATTATTTAATATTAACATTTATTATATTGTTTAAACATACACACATTGAATTTGAAATACGGTTATTATAATTGTTATTATTTATTAATGAATTGATTTTGACATTTAAAGTATTATTATAATTAGTATAATTAGCACAGTTGAATTTTTATTAAATTATTTGAATCATTTAAAATTTTATTAGGATTTTTTATTGTAATTAATTTAGTAGGATGGGATTTAATTTTTAATCTAACATATTTATATTTATATATCTATATTATATTATATTTTTATCTTCTAAAAATTCAGAAGTATTATAGTAACACTTGTTTATAAGTAGTTGCTTTAATTTTTTTTATGAATTGTTTTTCGTCTAATGTTTTTATATATTCGGGTAATTTATTATATACTTGTATAGACATGGCGAATGGGCTGGAAAAATGAGATTTTAGTTTTGAAGTTGGCAGTAGTTTCTTTCTCTGTCTTAGATTTCTAGATATGCCATCTCGTTTGAAGCTTGGATTTTTTTTTCACAAACTTGCATAGTTCTAAAATATAGAATTTTAAATTAAAATGTTATAATTCTTGAAGTAAGGTAGTTTTCTGTGTTTTGTATGTTAACTATAATTCCTATTAGTCTTTTTTGTTTAGTTAATAAACTTTTGTTGCCACTCTAGAACCTTACCCTCACTTCGGTTGTCGGTTCCACCAGCGTTATGCCTTGCTTTCGATTAATGTCGCTATAAAATAAAAAAACTGAAATAATTAAAAAAAGAACCCCCTAAATAAAAAGTGGAGTGTGTTTTTCGCTAAACCAAATTAAACTACAAAGAATTGAAAAGGTTCGCGCGGGCTTCGCGTTAAAACTAAAAGGCCTTCTACACGGTCGGGACCAACCACCAACCGTCGTGACCTTGGTCGAGTTGATGTAAAAATGGACAGTGTAAACATCGGTTGTCTGACCAATATTTTGGTTGGTGTCCGACGGCCTTGGTCGCGAGCGCATCACTCACGACACGTCGGGTCCGTGGTTGGCGCCGACCGTGTGGAAAGCTGTCGGCCGACGAGTCGACGAGAGCGCCAGCCGGTCAGGCGCCTCAGCGGTCTCAGTGCGCGCTTGGCAGTCGTCGCCATAGATAATACACTAATACACTATATACCAGGGATAGATGCGCCACTTACATTTCAGTTTTCGAATGGGTGTACCGTGTACGCTAGATGCCGCTGTATTCCTTAGTACAACGCGGCTTGCGGTAGTTACCACATGGTTACCACTAGATGGCGTATTTTGTCAATGACTATATTGGTAATTATGAACTATGCAGTTTTATTAATAATGTTTCTGTTTATGCATTTGCATTCTACCAGATAATTATTGGATATCTCCAATGATTATCTTAAATCTTCAAATAGTAATTTTGCAGATAACATTAACACTAATAAAACTTAACCTATTTCACGTAAAATTTTATTTTAATATTAATATCAAACACTGAACAGAATTTTAATTATGTATTTATTTTCTTTTATGAATGTTATAATATTTAATAGCTTGAGTGTTGACATTATCATTTTCACAATCACAAATCAGTAGTTAATAATTTTCCATTTAGCAGCCTGTTAACATTGGTGCATAAACTGTGAACAACCACATTTATTGTTAAATTTAGTAAATAATCATAAAGCCTAAATGATGATATTCACACGAGAGGAACGAATAGTTGCAAAATATTTTCGTTTTCTGAATTATCGTATCAATAATATTCGTATTTATTAGAAAGAACTGTCAACCGAGTGTGTCAACCATAACCATAGACCAAAACTGCCATAGATTTAGATTTTTTTGGCTTTGGATTCTGGGGTTTTGGCTAAATTAACGCCATCTATTCAACGCTGAACAAAACTAGCCTACAAGTTTATGTACCTTGTTCACTAGAGGGCAGAACTTTCAATGCATTTTTATTCTTGTAAAATAGTATGGCAGTTTCATCCCCCGTCGTCGCGGGCGAACGTTTAACGGTTAACGGCACTATCACAGAGTACTTTTTATAGGGCACTATGGATACCAACGGAAGCAAAGAACGTGAGGTTATGACCGAGTTCTTGTCTTTGTACTGTAATTTACTATGTCTTTGGGATATTGGCTCGGATTTATATAAGGACAGGAATAAAAAAATGCAAGCATGGGAGCTTTTGAAGGACAAGCTTCAAGAAATTGAACCCGAGGCAAACATCGCTGCAACGAAGAAAAAGATTGAGCATATGCGATCGGCTTTTAAGAGAGAGTACAAAAAGGTGATTTTTTATAATGCCTACTATACTATTTGTTTCAAATAAAAAAGTTAATCGCGATGACATTATAGCAATTCTTTGCTAGTTAATGTTATTCGTTGCCAATTATTTTATCCTTTACTTAATTGTACAGACAAATAAAGCATTAATTTACTTCCATTTTTAATGTAGATAATGATTTTAGTAGATAGACTACTAACATAACCTTTAAACGAAAAATACACAATTTTCTATTCATCATTAACTGTAATTAAATAATCTTTAAGTACTTATAATAAAAACAAAAGGGCTGCACGATAACTAAGCCTATCTTTGTCTTGTTATTTTCTTAGGTTAAAGAATCAAAACGAACGGGAGCAGGAGCCAATGATGTCCATGTTCCTAACCTTTGGTACTATAATTTGCTGCTGCCTATCTTTAACAAGAAAGATGAACAATCGAGATGCGGTGTGGACACGCTGTCCAGTGATGAAGTGAGTACCTAATTTTAATATTTTGAAAAATAGCCTAAACAAATTTTTAAGGCAAATTTTACTTTGACATACTTTGCTTCTAAAATAAATAAAGGCGCTATATTTTCTCTAATAAAAAGAAGACAAAAACTAGATTTCGTATAGTGTTTAATTACAAAATCATAAAACCAAATCACAAAACTATCTTACGAAATTACAAAATTCTAAGATTCTTATAGTTTCTATTGTCCACTAGATATTTCAATATAATGCCGCAAATTACTAAAGAAAAACCATAAACAATTTTATTCTCTTGTTTCCATGACTATTTCAACCATTTTTTCTTGAAAGCATACTTTGCCACTTGTATTAAAATAATCCATTAAGGTTTTTCTCACTTGCTGCCCCTCATAAGTATTCCTTTCACCAGTTCGATGAAGAGGGGTTAGGGCACCTTGTTGTCGCCAGTCTCCAGTTCTAAATATTTGATGTTGTAAGTCTTCATAGTCAACACTTGAAGGGGTCCAATAAATTTTCGACTTTTGTCTTAGAAAGTTATGTAACGCACAACTGGCTAGAACAATTGCATCCAGATTTTCAATTTTAACACTAATTGGTTGCCTAAATACTCTGAAACGTGAAGCAAGAATGCCGAAAGCATTTTCAACAACTCTTCTAGCTCGGCATAGACGATAATTGAATATTCTTTTTTCCTTACTGATGTTCTTATCGGGGAATGGTTTCATTATATTTGTTTCAAGTGCAAATGCACTATCTCCTAAAAAAACATACGGTACTGTTAAGTTTGTACCTGGCAGTATAAATGATTCTGACAACTTAAGGTCATCGTTGATAAGTTTTTCATAGAACCTGGTGGATTTGAGTATTCCTCCATCTGACATACTTCCATTTGAACCCGTATGAACATAAATGAATTCGTAGTTTGCATTGACAATTGCAAACAACACCACACTAAATGTACCCTTATAGTTGTAGAACAATGATCCCGTTCCGGATGGTTTTTCGATTATAATATGCTTACCATCCATGCAACCTACACAGTTGTGAAATTGCCATTGTTCTTGAAAAGATTTCGCAGCCATGTCCCATTCATATTTCGATGAAGGTAACTGAAACAAATTTTTTTTTCAGGAATCCAGATCATCAGAACATGAGAAGGGCAGAAAAAAGTTAAATATATTGCAGATAAAAAAAAAAATTAATAAATACTGCTCAAGAATTATTGCAAGATGATAGAAAAGAAAATCAGAAAGAAATAAATTCATTTGGTTTGTACGTAGGAGAACAACTTGATCAGGTTGAAACATTTCAACGCCAAGTGGCTGAGAAATTAATTTCTGATGTTCTTTTTCTGGCAAAAACAGGAAACCTTAATTTTGAGTCAAGAATCGAAACAAAAAGATCTCGAAATTTTCATGCTTTTCAGATGTCATCATCACCATATACCCGACTATCACCATCCCCAAATTACATGCAGTCATCATCATCTCCATATCCCATTCAGACATTAACATCACCACAACAAAGTCACCCATCACCATCCCCAAATTACATTCAGTCATCATCATCTCCATATCACATTCAGACATTAACATCACCACAACAAATCCACCCATCTCCATCCCCAAATTACATTCTGTCATCATCATCTCCATATCACCTTCAGACATTAACATCACCACAACAAAGCCACCCATCACCATCCCCAAATTACATTCAGTCGTCATCATCTCCATATCACATTCAGACATTAACATCACCACAACAAAACCAACCATCACCATCAACAAATTACATTCAGTCATCACCATATCTATATCATAACCAGTCACCACCATCACCACATCACACCCAGCCATCGCCGTCACCACATCCCACCCAACCATCACCACATCCGACCCAACCATCACGATCACATCCTACCATACCATCACCTAGTCATCACTCTACATCTAATGATACAAATATGATAATATACGAAGGACCGGCTCGTGGAATTAGTGAATTCGTAATTTTTAAAAAGGAAAAATAAATGTCATTGTTATACACTACCTTGATTGTTTTCTTTAAAGCCTTGTATATTGCCCAACAAGTTTCAGGTATAATTTTTGAAAGCAATTGAAATGATGTAACTGTACTAAATCTCAGATCTTTATAACTTCTTCCCGTAGCCAAAAATCTTAATGTAGCTATTAATCGTTCTTCAGCAGACACGGCTTGACGCATAACTGTATTTTTTTTTGTAATCATTGGACGCACCATCTCAAGTAATTCATTAAAAGTATCTTGATCCATTCTTAGAAAATTCCGAAAGTCTTCAGAATCAAGAATCCTTAAAATATTGAGATGGTTTAAAGTAATGCGCTCTTTCAGCCACAATTTCATCCATTTTCTTTTTTTTCTTTTTTTTTCATCTTCGCTCAAGCACAGAAACGTTAACGCTAAACCGATTTTTTGTTGGTTGGAAAAGCAAGGAGCCATATTTACAAGTAACTACCTTACGTCTTTACGCTTTGAATACCGGAGAGAACTGACATGTTGAGTCAACCACCCGACCGTGTAGAACGAATATTGTATTCGGTTGACCCGACCAAGGTCACGACGGTTGGTGGTTGGTCCCGACCGTGTAGAAGGCCTTTAATGAGTACGAGTACGGTCCCAACTTTTTTCTCACAAAAGAAATATTCCTGTTCCTGTTTTCAGCTTAAAGCGAGGCCATCGAATTTATTGTAGTTCTAGTAAATTATTTTAATGTATTATCACCACCATCACTCTCTGATCTATTTTGCCGGCAATTTGCAGTACGTGAACTGCCATATTCCGTTCTTAAGAGTATCATCATCATCATCATTACAGCTCTTCATAAGTCCACTGCTGAACATAGGCCTCCCCCATAGATTGCCTCATAGAATGATATTTGCCATAGTTGCATGTGTGTGTTGTTCTGATCCACCTGTCTTACGAGGTCGTCACTCCATCTAGTGAGAGATGATCTTCGCCTACTGGTATGAAGCTGCCACTGCAGAACCCTTCGTTCTCATCGGTGTCGGTTCATCGAGCTATATGGCCAATTGCCACTTCAGCTTACTAATCCGTAGAAGAGTAAAGAGAGTCAGTATCACACGCTATGAGGCATCCCATCTAAGTCCTCAGAGGTGACAACGCGACCGTAGTCTTTTTTGTTTGAAGTTGGTTGCAGATGTGACTGTTACTGTTACTGGTAAGTGGATGCTGTGGCACGTAAATATTTACATTTACCCTCAATTAAGTTTTTTATAGGTTAGCCTGACAAACGAGCACACAGTCCACCTGATGGTAAGTGGTTGCTGTGACCCATAGACATTTACATGTATCCTCAATAAAGAATCAAAATGCAGATGCGTCGTCACCTTTCCCTTTGTCGCCTTTTACGACACCCACGGGAGGATATGGGGTCACCTTTAACACAGAATAAATAATAGTACTAACGTAACGTGCCTTTGAGGACTAATATGTAATGCCTCTTTTCCAGTAAAAAGGGTCTCCGCTTCTCTACACTCACCATACGAAACACAGCAGTGTTAAGCTGCTATTTTACGCTGGTATTCTGTGAGAGCGTGGTCTTTCCCCGGTCGAGCCGACCCATTCGTGCTACAACTACATCATTAATATAGCTACAGCATGGCTCTACCACGTATACGTACTCTACCACGTTTCTTCAGAATCAGTGGTAAAAGTAAAAAAATACTTTCAATAAGAATTAGGTACATTTAATCAATGTTGAGTAAAAAAAATATTCTATTCTATTATATTTATATCCCAATATTGGGCACACGCTTTACTAGTATTAAAACAACTGTTATATTTCCCATTTTTAGGCTACTTAACTGATAAAACTACGTACATAAAGATTTTGTACATTCACGCATACGCCAAGAGCAGTCTTGAGTCGCATCTGGCCTTTTTAATATTCAATGAACTAGATCCACTATCCAAGGTGCTCTATTATGTAGTAATGTTGTTCAAATGAGGTGCTTCTAAATATTTTAGCGGGATAGCTATGGAGCGGTCGTAAAATATATGTGTAACGTAGGTGTGCCTTACTAGATGAGTGGGAAAGAGAGGTGAGATCATGTTTAAGCCAAAATACTTACTTACCTCATAAGGGGGATATTTGCCATAGTTATAATGTTACTGTTGATTTGAAAATTTCACCTCTCAGTGCGTCATGTGTTCTTTCATTTGTTTTTGCTTACTTTTTACTGCTAGCTTCTTCTTATTATTATTTTAAAAGAAAAATGGCTCCATCATTTAACCGATGATTCTCTGTCAATGTCAAGGTTGAGAAATACAGGATATTACACAAAATAAAACCGGCCAAGTTGTCAATGATGGGTGTCTTTTGTACCATCGTACAAAATTTAATATTATGTAAGTAAAAAAACACGTTTCTAGTAGGGGAGCCCCTTTAATTTTGAATTTATTTTTATTTTTATTATTTGTTGTTACAGCGGCAACAGAAATACACATTCTGTGAAAATTTCAACGGTCTACTTATTACGGATGATGACAGACGTTGACAGACAGACTGACGGATTGATGGACAGTAGAGACTTAGTAATAGGGTCCCGTTGGTTACCCTTCTGGTACGGACCCTAAAGAAAGAACCGTAGAAGTATAGTTTTACTGCTAGCTTCATAGAGCTCAAAACGTGGTTGTTAACGCCGGCACAGCTGCTGTCAATTAAGCAATCAATAGAATGTCCCAATAATGGATAGCTTTCTGCTCACAAAACAGTTTCCGTAAGTAATTAAACTGTTTGAAACAGTTTCCGAATGGGACGTAGGAACTTTTCTATTCAATATAGATTATAAATATGTAATGAGGGCATCCACGACTTTTTCTGCCACCAGGGCGGCGCCACTAGAAAGTGAGGCATAATATTTGACAGATTTCATAGCGGGGAAGTTAATTTGTTTGTAAAATGTAAAAGTTGTTGTTTCTTTTTGTACTATTAGCTATATTTTATATTAATAACATTAAAAATAAATAAACCAAACCACTGATATTCATAAAAGTATAAAAATTAAAAAAAATTATATATGTGCAAAAATTAAAGAGCAAACCACTGTTTTGTGTATTAATATACCCTAGAAACTGATCAACTTTTATTAAAAACTTCTCAATTAAATGACATTGTGTAATAAAAAACTTTACCTCAGTGTCAACTAGCGACATCTAGTGAGCAGAAATTTATTAGCCCTCATAAAAGTAAAAGAACTCTTATGTTTGATTTACCAATAGTTCGCAAAATACCTCTGTCCTGAGAAGAACAAGCCAGAAATCCAGGGGGACTCTTTTCAAAAATGCACAGCTTACAATCATTAAAGTTACACAATAATTAACAACACAAAACAAATTAGAAATAGCTTGGTAGCGATCACGTCATTCTCAGGGGTTATTATAATCTATAAATTCCTACTCTAGCTAGAAACAAAGTCGCTTTCCGTCGTCTTTACGCTTAAATCTTTTAAACTGCGTAACAAATTTTGATGCGGTTTTCATTTATAGATAGAATAATTAAAAAGAAAAGTTTATATGTATAATATATGCATCATCATCATTATCATCATTACAGCCTTTCATAAGTCCACTGCTGAACATAGGCCTCCCCAAAGGAATGCCACAAAGCACGGTCCTGAGCCACCTGCATCCATCGACTTCCTGCATGCCTTACCAGGTCGTCACTCCATCTCGTGGGGGGTCGCCCTACACTTCGCCTACCGGTACGAGGCAGCCACTCGAGAAACTTTCTTCCTATGTCGGTTACTCTAGTTCTACTGCGGATATCCTCATTTCTAAGTTTATCACGCAGAGAAACTCCGAGCATAGCCCTCTCCATAGCTCGCTGAGCGACCTTGAGCTTCCACATACGGCCAGCTATGAAGGACCACGTCTCAGTTCCGTAAGTCATCACTGGCAACACGCACTGGTTGTACAATTTCGTATTAAGGTATGTCTTAACCTCAAAAAGGTATGTCTGACGAGAAAATGTGTCGTAGCTTCCCGAACGCTGCCCAGCCGAGTTGAATCCGTCGATTGACCTCTCGGTCGAAGTTGGACTTACCTAGTCGGACTATTTGTCCCAGGTAAACATACTCGTTAACAACTTCGAGCTTAGTGCTCCCAACAACTACCGGCATAGGTGTGACATGGACATTAGACATAATCTTTGTTTTGTCCATGTTCATCTTAAGACCTATCCGTTGGGAGACACTATTGAGGTCATTGAGCATAGTGCTTAGGTCCTCCAGCGATTCTGCCATAAGGACTATATCGTCGGCAAATCGAAGGTGAGTGATGTACTCGCCATTGATGTTGATACCGTATCCTTTCCAGTCCAGAAGCTTGAAAACGTCTTCCAATGCAGCGGTGAAGAGTTTCGGGGATATGACGTCACCCTGTCTTACACCTCTCTGCAATTGGATAGGTTTCGTACTCTGGTTCTGTACTCGGATAGCCATCGTAGCTCTACTGTACAAACACTTCAACACTTCGATATACCGACAGTCAACTTGGCACCGCTGAAGGGACTGCAGCACCGCCCAAATTTCGACGGAATCAAAGGCTTTCTCATAGTCCACATACGCCAGACATAGTGGCAAATTGTACTCTTCGGACTTCTGTACAATTTGCCGAAGGGTATGTATGTGGTCTATGGTGCTAAAGCCCTTTCGGAAACCGGCTTGTTCGGGAGGCTGGAAGTCGTCAAGTCTGCGCGCGAGACGATTCGTAATGACTCTCGAAAACAGCACGTAGACGCGGCTTGGAAGGGAAATCGGTCTGTAGTTCTTCAAGAGAGCGTTGTCACCTTTCTTGAAGAACAAGACCACCGCACTTCTGCTCTACACCTCCGGTGTAATGCCACCATGGAGGACGGAATTAAAGAGCTTCTGAAGGACTTCAAGTACCGGTCTTCCACCTGCTTTCAGAAGCTCCGCTGTAATTCCATCCTCGCCTGGGGCCTTACCGTTTTTAAGGTGCTGGAGAGCCATTCTAATCTCGCTCAGACTGACGTCCGGGATATCTTCGGAATAGTGTCGGATGAGACTCGCTCTTGGATCGTTACTCACACTTGCGTGTGGCTCCAACGATGACGTGTACAGCTGCCTATAGAACCTCTCAATCTCACTCAAAATCTCAGGTGTCCCGGAAACGATGCTGCCACATTTTGTCTTCAGCCTTGACAGTTGGCTCTTTCTGGCAGACAGATCTCTGGCAAAGACTTTGGAGCCTTGGTTCCGCTCGATCGCTTCTTCAATACGAGCTGTATTGAAGTTGCGTAAGTCCCGCCGCATGCATTTGGAGATCTGTCTGTTCAGATGCCTGTATGCTGTCAAGTCTGTTGCAGAATGTAGCTTCATCTCCCGTCTAACAGCTATGAGATTAAGAGTGTGATCGGAGAGTTTTTGTGTTCTTCTGCGGCGGGTCTTGCAGAACTT